AAAACTAAACAAAAAGAAATTGTAGCCTACATTTAGGGCTTAAATATAACAAATGATAATAATGAAAAACATACACAAAACAAAAGCATACTTTTCAGGAATTTATTTAAAAAAAATAAATAAAATAAAAATAGTTTGCAACAAACCACCTTTTTTTTCGAAAAGGCTTTTAGTTGCAAATACAACATAACTTTCAACACTAACTAACTAGCTATTTGTAAATTTTAATTTGTATGTTTTCGAGGGTTGTTCGGGAAAACTATCAGCACAAAATAAATATGTACATTTTACCTAAAGCTGGACCACAAAAGCAAAAACCGGAAAAAGAAAACAAAATGAATAACCGCAAGGTATTAAATGAAATAATGTTGATTGTTTCTGATGGGTGCCAATAAGGAAGAAGATGATGTTGTTGGCTTGCTCATCGGCAATGATGAAGGCTTTGGCCAATTTGTTTGCTGTGAAAAAAAGGTTTTTTTTGTTTGTATTTTCTCTCTGGTTTTTCAAGTGGCTAAATGAGGTCAATTGAAGTTTAACATTTGAGTGGTAATTAAGGCAACATGAAAAAAAAAAACGAAGAAAAAAACAACTGACTAGAGAAGGATAATCAAAACTAGGTTCTTTAATATTCTATTTATAGACAAATGGCCAACGTAATAGAAGAAGAAAAGTGGCATAAATAGAACATTTTAATAATTTTCTATACAAAATTAAAACAGTTTAAATTAAGTAACAAAAATATGTTTCAAAAAGGACTAGTCCATTATTCTGTATTTAAAACTAAAGCATACTTTTAGTTGTTAAAAAAAACTAAATAGAAAACATAATTTAAGGCTGTTTAAATACTAAACAATGCACATTTTTTTGAAAACTTTTTAAAGGAATCTAATTTTTTAATATTTTTTGTTAAAATTTTTCGAATAATTATTCGAAATTTTAATCAATTATTCGGTTTTTTATTCGTTATTTTTCCAAAAAATTGAGAATATTGTTACGTTTTACCTTTTAAAACGTTCGTTTATTTCCTTTTGAAATAAACTGGATTCTTCTTATTGCAAATAAAAGCGTCAATTTGTTAAAAACTACAACAACTCTTTATTTACACAGTTTTATACACAAATACTTTTATAACACAACTTATATAGTAGACTGTAAGGCTGTCTTTTTATCTTTAACACACGAAAGCACACTTGACTTTATTAACTTTACTCAATGACGATTTATTACAGACTGACTCATTTGGTGATTGCCACCGCTATTTATACATGGGCATCACCTTCTTTATATTTCCAGTTTATTCTGGCTCCATCATCTAGATACTTCTACTGATGTAAGTCAATGTTTAGTGGAGACACACACACCTCTTCAACGCTTAGTGATGCCACCCAAATGTTAGTCGCTAAGAAATTTCGGGAACTGGCCGTTAAAAACCGTTTAGTTTAAATGCAAATTCAATTTCGTAACACTGTCCCCCGCTTAAGCCTGTTCGTCCCGAATAGGCACAGATTCACCTTTCCCATAGGCAGCTAGTCGTTCTAGGTGTACAACCTTCATTTTGCTTCTCGGGCTCTTATATTTCTGTATTCGGTAGACTACGTCGTTTAATTTCTTAATCACCACATACGGTCCTTCCCAGTGAGTTTGCAGCTTAGGGGATAAACCTTTTTTACGTTGTGGGCTATACAGTAGTACTAGCTGGCCTTCGGTAAATCCTTCAGAATTTACTGCTCGATCGTATCTGGCCTTCATTTTATCACTGGTCATTTTTATTCGTCTCCGCACGAATTCATGAAGTTCATTAAGGTCATCTTGCTCTTGGGAAAAGTTTTCATCATCCTTACTTTTTGATGACGGCTTTATACCAAATTCTAAATCACCAGGCAGCTTGAGTTCTGTTCCGAAAATAATTTTTGCAGGTGTTCGAGAGGTGGAGTCGTGAACGGCTGTTCGGTAGGCCAGCAGAAATTTTGGTATGTGTTCATCCCAGTCCTTCTGATGTGCACTAACCACTTTTCTCAAATATTCCTCCAGTGTGCGATTGAATCTTTCGACCATGCCATCTGATTGAGGATGCAGTGGAGTTGTTCTTGTTTTTCTTATTCCGTATAAATCGCACATTTCTTTGAACACAGCGGATTCAAAATTTCTGCCCTGGTCCGAATGTAACTCCAATGGTACACCATAACGACATATCCAGTTGTTCACAAACACACCTACGACTGTTTTAGCTTCCTGGTTGGGGATGGCATACACCTCTGGCCATTTGCTGAAATAATCCATAACCACTAGAATATAACGGTTTCCGGCATCACTAACAGGAAAAGGGCCTGCTACATCCATTGCAATCCTCTCAAATGGCGCACCTGAGTTGTACTGCTGAAGTCGTCCACGACTTTTTCTTACTGGACCTTTGGCTGCTATGCATTGTGGACAATTTGAAATCCAATCGGCTACCGATTGTTGACAACCGACCCAATAAAACCGTTGTTTTACCTTTTCTATGGTTTTCGTCACGCCAAGATGTCCACCACTTGGACCGTCATGGAACTCTTTCAATACTTCATTTATTTTAGAGGCAGGTACCACAATTAGATTTGTCACCGTTTTTCCGTCTGCACTTTCCCATATTCGGTATAGGCAGCCATTTAACACTTGTAGACTATTCCATAGAGCCCAATAGGATTTCATTAATGGACTTTCTGCAGATATTTCATTGCGGGCTGGTCTTTTGCCTTCTACTTTAGCCGATATTATCTTTGCCAGTAAGGGGTCATCCCTTTGCGCTTCAGACCAATCTTCAGTGGAATCTATATGGGTTAGCCGAACATCGATGACGCTTTCTTTTACCTCAGCCTTTGTGCAATGCCTGCATTCCACGGTGCATGGTCTTCTCGATAGAGCATCCGCATTACCATGTTTTACACCTTTCCTGTGCTCAATGCTAAAATCATAAGACTGAAGGCGTTCAATCCAACGAGCCAGTTGCCCTTCAGGTTCTTTAAATTGCAGCAACCACCTGAGGGCAGAGTGATCGGTTCTCAGTTGGAAGTGTTGCCCATATAGATACTTATGGTAGTGTTTGACACACTCAACTACTGCTAGGAGTTCGCGACGAGTAACGCAGTAGTTTCTCTCAGGCTTTGAAAGCGTTCGGCTGAAGTATCCGATGACTCTTTCAGTTCCATCGATTACTTGGGAAAGCACACCGCCTATTCCGTATCCACTAGCATCACTATCCAGCACAAACTTTTCTCCAGGTATGGGATATGACAAAATTGGTGCCTTACATAAGAGATCCTTGAGCTTTTGGAATGCTAATTCTTGTGCTTCACCCCAATGGAATGGTTGCGACTTCTTGGTCAATTCATGTAAGCTTGCAGCTACACTGGCGAAATTTGGAACAAATCGTCTGTAGTACGTACAGAGGCCAAGAAAACTTCGCAATTCATGGAGATTTTTCGGCCGTGGCCAGTCTTTTACAACTATTATTTTATCTTCATCTGTTGATATTCCATCTGCTGTTACGCGATGCCCCAAATATTTCACTTCCTTCTGAAACAATGCACATTTCTTTACACTGAGTTTTAGTCCAGCCGCTGATATTCTTTTAAGGACTTCTTCAAGGTTTTTAAGGTGTTCATTAAAAGTATTTCCCATGACAATTATGTCATCGAGATACACCAAACATGTCTTTCCGTGAAGTCCTTTTAATACATGTTCCATTAAGCGCTCGAATGTTGCTGGAGCATTGCAGAGTCCAAAGGGCATTACATTAAACTGCCATAATCCGTCACTAGCACTAAATGCAGTTTTCTCTTTGTCTTTGCCTGCAATCTCTACTTGCCAATATCCACTTTGCAAGTCCAATGTGGAGAACCATTTTGTTCCAGCTAGCGTGTCCAGAGTATCATCAATTCTAGGTAGCGGATAGCTGTCTTTCTTGGTGACATCATTCAGCTTTCTGTAATCTACGCAGAATCTTGTGCTGCCATCTTTCTTCTTAACTAAAACCACGGGCGAGCTCCAAGGACTAGAAGATGGTTCGATTACGCCGTTCCGCTCCATTTCGTTCACTAACTCTTTCACTTCGCTTCGTTTTGCTAAAGGAATACTTCTGGGGGCCTGCTTTATTGGTCTCGCATCGCCAGTATCTATTTGATGTTTTACAATTGCTGTTCTACCTTGATTTTCACTTTTTAAAGCAAAGACAGATGCATGTCTCTTCAGAAGTTGTTTGGCTTTATTTTTATCTGACGGCGCTAGCTTTTCTACCCATTTTCCCACATATTCCGCTAGTAGCTCATGTTCTTTGATGGATTTATTTGCAGGATTTTCCACACAGTTGACTACAGCCTCTGCTGAAGCACATTGACCTAGTTCGGAATTTGGCTTTATGACTTTTTCAAAGCTGGACAAGTTAAGAACTCTTACGGGAACTATTTTGTTTTTACAGGGTTTGACGAGGGCTTTAGCTGTTACAATATCACTTTTTATTTCTGCTGGTTCTACTACCCACAAACTGTTGTCCTCACAATCTCCCTCCATACGGGCCCATATCAAAACCTCTGACTGTGGAGGCAATTTTTCATGTTCAATAGCAACTAGTTTTTTTACTTGAGCCTTGCTTTGATATCCGACATCAAGAGGTATTTCAACATTTCGCCAAATCATAACATTTGGTCCCAAATGTAATTTAATGCCATGCATAATCATGAAGTCTGCACCAATGATTACCTCATCCACGATATCGGCAACAATAAATACATGATCTACGCTTATGTTGGCAATGATTACTTTCGCATTTACTTTACCATAGACAGTGGCAGGCTCTCCAGTGGCGGTGCGTAATCTTACCCCGCATAGTGGTTCAATTGTTTTCTTAACTAAATCTGGTCTAATAATAGACTGCGACGCTCCTGTGTCTATAGTAAAAATGTGCTTTCGACCATTGATGTATCCACCAGCAGTTAGATTACTATTTTTCTGCTGCATTACTGATATGGAGATTGTGGGGCCGTCATATGTGGGAGCTAGCTCTTGCCCCTCAGTGCTAGCTCGTTTTAATTTAAAGGTGATTCTTGTGATGAGTGATGATTTACCTGTTGGTTGTTTCTTGGCGGTGAGACCGATCTGGTACGTTTTCTTTGTGCTTTGCAGTTTCGCTGAATATGTCCGGTTTTTCCACAGTTATAGCATTTGATTTTGGCTTTATTTTGTTTCTCATTTAAAGCCTCTAAAACTGCCTCTTTTATCTCAGTGACTATATTCCTTTCGTTTTCAGCGACAACCTCGACATTTCGTACCTTGAATATTTGTGGCTTTGAAATTATTTTAGCCGTTTCTTGTGCCAGCGCAAATGAGACAGTTTCAGCGAATGATGGCTTTGGTGTGGCACAAACCGCATGTTTTATCTCAGGATCACGTATGCCATTTACAAATGCCTCTATCTTGAAAATATCCAAAAACGGGTGATGTTCTCCTGGATAAGTAAGCTGTATCAATCGCTCGATTTCCAATGCAAAGTCTTGTAGTGTCTCATTGGCCTTCTGCACTCTGCCACGCAATTCCATTCGGTATAATTCCTTTTTATGTTCTCCACCGTACTTGCGTTGTAGTGCTTCCATTATGTCGTCATAATTATTTCTGTTGCTCACTGGTACGCTCTCAAGAACTACTGAAGCACCTCCTTTTAAGGCTAAGATCAATTCTATAGCTTTTCTTCATTATTCCACATGTTTCTGATGGCAACTGTCTCAAACTGGAACTTGAACACATTAAAAGGTGTGGTGCCATCAAAACTAGGGGCTTTTATTCTACTCGAGGTTTCTGGAATGATTCGTACAGCTCCTTCTTGATATTGCAGATTATTCATCTTTGTTTCTAAGTCTGACACCTTTTTGTCAATGCCATCTACTCTGCTATTAATAACCTCAGACACTTCCAGAATTTTTTCTTCTGTGGCTCTTGAACTTTCCTGAAATTTTGCTTCCATTTCAGCTAAGTGTTTAAAAGTTTCCTTTACTTCAGCTTTAACCTCAGCTCGAAGTTTCTCGTTGTCAGTAAGAAGTTTCTCGTTGTCAGTAAGAAGTTTCTCGTAGTTAGCCTTAGAAGTTTCTTGAACTTCAGCAAATTTCTCCATCATAGCGGCAAACATTGTGTTTAAGTCCATGTTGCTCGTTGTTGAGCGAGTACATATCTCAGTTTCTTCTTTGTACTCGAATTCGTATGTACCTATGTCAATGTCACGCCGCTTGAATTCATCTATTAGCCTCTTTTGCAATTCTGCCTTATTACCGGCTGTCGGTAACTCCATCTTACTCAATTCTCTCTTGAGTTGTTCCACTTTTAGTTCTTCGAACTTCATGACTGCTTTTTATTATGCAATTCCGCTTCTGACACCAATTGTTACGTTTTACCTTTTAAAACGTTCGTTTATTTCCTTTTGAAATAAACTGGATTCTTCTTATTGCAAATAAAAGCGTCAATTTGTTAAAAACTACAACAACTCTTTATTTACACAGTTTTATACACAAATACTTTTATAACACAACTTATATAGTAGACTGTAAGGCTGTCTTTTTATCTTTAACACACGAAAGCACACTTGACTTTATTAACTTTACTCAATGACGATTTATTACAGACTGACTCATTTGGTGATTGCCACCGCTATTTATACATGGGCATCACCTTCTTTATATTTCCAGTTTATTCTGGCTCCATCATCTAGATACTTCTACTGATGTAAGTCAATGTTTAGTGGGGACACACACCCTCTTCAACGCTTAGTGATGCCACCCAAATGTTAGTCGCTAAGAAATTTCGGGAACTGGCCGTTAAAAACCGTTTAGTTTAAATGCAAATTCAATTTCGTAACAAAATTAATAATAATAAATGCACAAAAGAAATAATAATTAAATTTGAATATTGGGTTTATATATATGTATTTGAATATTTACTAAAAAAAATTAGATTCTTCATATCTTAACAGGTATTTAATTATATTTTATAATTATTTTAGATTTGTTAAGAAATGAATATTTATGTACTATTTAGGTTTTTCTCTTTTTCTTTTTTTTATTTATTAATTTATATATTTATATATTTATTTATTTATTTATATATTTATTTATTTATATATTTATTTATTTATTAATTATATATTTATTTATTTATTTATTTATTTATTTATTTATTTATATATTTATTTATTTATTTATTTATATATTTATTTATTTATATATTTATTTATTTATTTATTTATTTATTTATTTATTTAATTATTTTTAGAGGAAATGATTCAGAATTGTTTTTTTCTTTTTTTTTATTTTTGACATAAAAGTTCTGACAAGAAAATAGAATATCAAATTATTCAAAAAAAACAATTAAATTATTTGATTAATTATAAGAATAGTTAATTAATCATATACTTTAGCAATTATGAATCATATCTTTAAACATAATCATTTTCTGCTTAATTCGAGTTGTTATTAATGTTACAATCTAAAGTTATATATTATAAGATTTAAGTATTGGTTAAATGGTAAAGAACATAAATTTATGTTAGTTTTAGTTTTTTTTTATATTCTCATTATAATATTAATATAAAATATATTAGAATTTTAGAAGACAACAACATAAGGCCAACGACAAAATACGTTAAATTAGGATATAATAACTTCAGCTACTTGATTATTATGATTTTTTTCTCTTTTTTTTTCTATATGTCTAAATTTATAAATATTTAATTTTAAATTGTTTCTTTCTTATATATTATGTATCTTTTCTAGTGATATATGAATTTTCAATGTCACACTATTGACCTCCGTGTGAATGTCACGGGAGATCACGTGTGTGACATGTAACGGTCAATGTGTCAACGGTCTAGGTTATATTACGTGTTTCAGATTTTTAATTTACTTATCTATTTTTCCCGTTTTTCTGTTGCAATTATTTCCTTACGGCTCACCCTGATTTTGAATTACCATCCACTGGTGGTTGAATATGATAACATATATTATGTCAAATTGTAGAGTGGAACCTAAATCTTCCCTCGACCAGGTGGTCCAATTATTTGATTTTTTGGTGGTGAATATGAGCTCAGCCTTCTAACGGGTGCGTGAACACGCTATTCGATTCCCAGATCCGAGATCTGAGGCATAGATGGCTCTGCCGTGAATCTGAATAAAATTTGTTTTCTGCATTAACAAAAAGCCTCACAACACTATATGATGTGGATAACATCAAAAAACATTCAATAAATTTTTTTTTTTTTATCAAATAATAACAAGAATTATTAAAAATTAAACAAAAACATTTTAAATTTAGCATTCAATCTCGTTATTTTATAATTCAAATGGGTAAATTTAAAATTTTTTTACATATTTGATTTAAAAAAAATAAGATTTGAAAATATTTAAATTATAATGGTTCTGGTTAATAATTAGATAAATATTTGTTATATTTTTGTTTTAATTACCTGAATATTTCCTCTTTGTATTTTTAAATTAAATTTTAAAATAATCAAATTTATAACAATTATCGAATATCAACTTGAATTAAGTTAGACTTTCAAAGACTGACAATTTTTATGTTAAGCAAGTATCACTTTCACAATGAATTTCTTTCCTGGACTTCTGTTCGATTTGACTGTTGGCACAAAATGACCAGTCATTATCGTTACATGTGAGTCCCTTGCCTTAACGGTGACGTCACTTCCAACGTGTTTCGGTAACGTTCAAGTACAATGTAAGGTCATTTGATCGGGTGGTGAAGTATAAATGCAACCTTGCAGTGTATTCCTTACTTACGTCACCGCCACCTATACGTCACTGTCAAAATTGACATCATATATTAGTTAGTCTCCAAAGTATAATACTAACCATTCACTTGGATTTTCATAACAAGAAGAAAAACATAACACGGAAAAACATAAAAAGGAACAAAAAAAAAACTAAATTTGTGGAAATTTTTATTAAAATAAAATAATTTATATAAAGAAAATAAAAAAAAGGCAAATATTATTGACCAACCGTCACACAATATTGTTTATATATACACTATGTAGATAAAGAGAGATTAACTAAAAAAACTGTCCCGGAACGCTTTATATAACACCAAATATTGAAAATTACTCCGCCGGAGTAGAATTATCGTCCATTCGTAACAAAGATTCATTCATTCCTAATATAATCTTTTCATGAATATGTACTCTTTTATGTATATGTATATGTATATGTATATATATATATATATACACTCAAACCTCGTTTTATGCGTATTTATTTTATGCGAATTTGAATTAGTGCGGTTTCAAAATTCTAAAATTTTTCTTTGCAAAAATAATTTTGAGAAAAATGTTGGTCCACATACATCGAAAAAAATTTCTCAACAAAGTACTACTACTGATTTTTTACCAATTCCGGTTCGGATACATAAAGTATTGTTCAAATCCTTTGTACACGAAGAAATATTATTTTTTATTTTTAAGAAATTTTGTACATATACTTCATTATTTGGAATTTGTATTGTGTTATTATTTGTTACCTTTATTTTTCATAATTTTTTAATAGTTTCAGTAGAAAATTAAATTTTTCTTGATTTTTTTATGCGATTTTGTTTGACTTTTAAGGGAATAATTTGAAATAGTGCGCTTTTTTATTAAAAACCCAATTACTATATTTGCATGGAGCTAGTGTATCGTTTTGTGCGAGTTCGAATTATGCGTTTTTCTGCGAAACGAATTAACCGCATAAATCGAGGTTTGAGTGTATATATATATATATATATATATATATATATATATATATATATATATATATATATATACAACGGATTTTGTGTCAGAAAACGTGACCTGGTAGGAGCATACTTCGTAAATTTTGATATTATGTGATAAATGTTGCTATTAGCTAAATATTTTACATATTATTGTTAAAGAATCATAATGTACATGGATTTAGTATTTCAAAAAGATGTAAAACACAAAACTTGGTTCAAAAATGTAAAAGTTATTAAAAATTCCCCAGGCAATTAACATGTCTCAGAGCACTTGATTAGGAAATGTGGAAAAAATTTAACTTATTTTGGAAAATATTCTAATAAAACTATTTTATTACATAAAATATATCTATATTTACTCGAATATATGTTTTTATCATTTAAAGATATTGTGGACCTGTTCTCAGCTATGATAAAAAAAATATTTTTTACACGGCAGTTTCAAAACTCCATTTTAAGTTTTTTTAAATCTTTGTTAAACAAATTTTAATATTTTATGGTCAAAAGATTAGGGAATAAAAGAGTGAAAAAATTAGGTCAATACCTCTTATAGTTAAGCTGTACCTGCGACTTGAACTCTTGCGAATTTCAAGAAAAACTATTTTTTGTAATATTTTAAACAAAATATTTACATAATATTATTTCTTAGATAATATAAAATATTTCCCTGAAGTTATATATAAATCGGGAAATCCTAAGGCGTAAACTTTGGAGGTCAAAGGTAAAATTTTGCAATATTTGTAAATTCTCATTGAAACATATCGAAATATTATTTATTTGTTGGCCATATTTACTAAAATTACAAGAATTGATATTTAAAAAAACAACAACAAAATTAAAATTAACCCTTTAAAGCACTTGGGTCCAATATATTCCCAAAGTTCAATAAATCAATTTTAATAATGCTCTATATAATTTTAAAAAATAAAAGGTTAATTTTATTTTTTTGATGTTAATTTAAATATCGAACCATATTTTATAAATTCCTATAATTTTAGAATATATAGCGAACAAATAAATAATATTTCGACATGTTTTAATGAGAATTTTTAAATATTGAAAACGCATATCGGGTAAATACCTCATGTGGGGTTTATATACAAAATATAAAACAATATACGTAGATTAATTTGTTAACATTTAATAGGAAAAATATTATTGATATATTAAGTTGGTACATGCGTACCAATCATTATTTATTATTTATAAGAAAACTATTCACAAAATGCTTGGTATTTTCAGATTTTTTACATAAATTATTCAAAATACTATCGAAGTTTTTCTCTGTTTTAACTTAAATTTTTAAATACAAAAATGTAAACAATAACAAACTCTGACATCAGTGCGTACCAGTCAAGTGAAGAAAAATTAATCAGCTGATTGAATAACACCACCTTATGTTAATTCGCCTTGGTGGTGTTATTCAATCAGCTGTTAATTTTTCTCTTAATTCGCCTGGTTTACGTAGATGTCAAAGTTTGTTATTGTTTACATTTTTATATTTAAAAATGTCCGTTAAACGGAGAAAAACTTCGTTAAAATTTTAAATTATTTATGTAAAAAATCTAAAAATACCAAGCATCTCGTAAACAAATATCACTTTATGTAAATAATGGCATAATTGGTATGTGTACAAAAATGTTATTTAAGAGAAATATTTTTTTTAAATTAAATGTTAATATATTAAACAATATTGTTGTATATTTTATATTAACATTGTGTAGATAACGTGATTAACTAAATAAAATCTCTTCCGAAACACTTTATATAATGAAACACATATGAAGAATTTAGCTGGACAGCTTACTTCTACGTCTTAGCTTAATTTTGAAATCTATTAAATGTTAACAAATTAAACAATATTGTTTATATATACACTATGTAGATAAAGAGAGGTTAACTAAAAAAACTGTCCCGGAACGCTTTATATAACACCAAATATTGAAAATTACTCCGCCGGAGT